GCAGCATAGATAATTCAGAAAACCAGATAGCATGTGCGAAAGACGAGGCCGATGATATTTCGAATCCGAGCAAAGATAAAAGATTTCAACCCCAATCACACCGAAGAGGCCTCACCGCACTGGCAACATCTCCACCTCGATCATCACCGTCTTAAGCCACAACAAATGTTATCCCATCATTATTTTATAATTCACCTTTTTGTCACATTGGAACCCAACTGATGTTCTCCTGTTTGGAGTTTTGGTAGTGCTGCCCTTTGTTTACATTAGCATCACAGATTGTACCTTTAAACAAGGGTGGATGTCTGTCACCGGGACTTTTCTGTCCACTCGAATGAAAGCAAGTTAGTGAGCTCTATGTGATCCGACAGCAAACACACATGCACTGTGGACACACGTACACTGTGGACACATGCACACTGTGGACACATGCACACTGGACGTGTTAACCGAAAGCCGTTCTCCTCTCGCACGTCGGTGACAGGCCTCCAGTAACGGCCTTGTGGAGAGTACGTGTTAGCCCAGCACGATCATTCTCCCAATCTCACCAAGGGCTAAAAATAACACCATCTCCACACAGAAAAGGGAGGGAGGGAGGACATAGGGAAGGGAGAAGGTGGCGATGAGAGGAGGCGCACAGTGACAAAACAACAATCAAAGTGAGAGAAAAGGGAGAGGAGACGGACAGAGGGGGAGTTGAGGTTCAGGGAGGAAAAGAAAACAAGTCATTAATAATTTACCTGGAGGACACTTCTACTGCGACCTTTAGCTCTGGTTGTTGGTGGTCAGCAAAGAACAAAGTGTTATATAGTGTTGTAACTCTTTTACGTGATCTGACCGGTGTGTACCGTCTGTAAGTCCGTGCCCACAGCGACTGGCCAGGTGCGCTTATGTACTTAAAGAGCATTAAGACCCAGAATAGCACTGTGATGAAACAAAAACAAAACAAAGTGTGAGAAAATAATATATGATCCAGGAAAGGGGATTTGTGTCAAAAAAAAATCATGAATTTCTAGCCGGCAAACACTGTGCAGTGGTAGACAGGATTTAACATTTCTGGGAAGGTTTCCATTTCATTTAGATTATTAATTTATTTTAGGCCTAAAGTCCAGTAAAGACTCTGTATATAATAAACAAGATTTCATGGGTGCAAGCCAATGCTGTACACACTTTGCACACGCATCACTTCGGCTAGTATTGTGAACAACAAGGCCACTCGCACAACTACACAACAACTACGACCTGCAACAGAATACGCACCGCACACTCGCACCCGGACCCCCCGAAACTCCCTGAGACCCCCAACCTTGTTCACATTAACGGTGATCTACCAGGACTGTATGCAGTTTTTTTCAAACATTTCATTCCTGTATTCTGGTCTGTCGGGTTAAGTTGTAGAAATCCACTATCGAAACCAAAAAAAAACGGGGCAAAATCTTCAAAAGTTTCCCCACTTCAAACTGAATAAGCTACCCATAAAAAGACATTTTATGTGTTTATGTCTATCATACTCTTGACTCTACTCTGTTTGTCTCTCTTCACCTTCTGATCTCACTTCCACAGCTCTCCCTGCAGCAGTGAAAGCCTTCAGGTGTTGTCACCGTCGCTCTTGGTCCAATAACTGTTTTGTCCTCGCTGTAGAAGTCCGGGCCACAATACCCACTCTTTTCTTCATTGCTGGATTTAGCTGGATTTTTACAGTGAAGTGTTGAATTAGCACCTCATTTGAAGCAGTATGCTTCAGATGAGGTGCTTGATGGATTGTGTCTCCCCCTCCACACCTTTCCAAAGTCGGGATTGATTTGGTCTCCATCCCACATTTTTTTTTTTTTTTTACTTTCCGAAAAAGAGAATCAGACGACCTACGCTCACTTCATGCAGGATGCCGTTTGTACGAATGAGTGCACCATGACATTCTCTGAGGAGAGAGCGCCTGAACGCGTGGACCATTATTCCCATTTATATTAACAAGTACACGTTCACCTTCAGACGTAGTCGGATGACACTTTTTAAGAAACAAAATTTGTTTCAAGCATCGCAGAACTGACATTTTTAGCCCCTTTGAGTCAGCCCCAAAACTTTGTTGGCCGGAGTGGCCTTCATTATGACGAAGCAGAGCATAGCTTAAACCGTAAATCTAAATCACCGAACGGGAGTTTTGATTGAAGACTTCTCGCTTTGTCCGAATAACGACAGCAGGTATTGCATTCGACAGGAAACCCGCATGTAGCGCACTGTTTTTAATCCTGCCAGTTTCTGTGTGTCACCTTGAGTTGTCCGACACCTCCTGCAAAACAGTGAAACACTTCCACAGGGTTTGATTGGTAAACCAGGAGACTGGTTACAAAGCCAACATGCTGACAAGTTCATTCTTTGCTCTGCTTCCTGCTGTGTGTATTCTGTCACTATACTTCTCCTTTACTGTGAAACACATATTCGACTCTAGTCGGGACTAATTTGTGCCTTGCTCTGCCTTTAACCTTTGTCCCGACCCACTTCAGCTGCACAAAGGAACAGAAATATAGCCGGAGGAGTTAAGGGGGAGGTATTGGGTAACTTGTTGCTGTGTGATTATGGTGCTATGACAAACACTGTGCAGGGTGTTGTGTTGTTTCATCAGAGCTTTTTAGAGTTTGTATTTACTAACAACACAAACCCGAGGTCCTGGCGAAGGGCGAGGGACACGGTGATGCAGATCGTTCCTCTGCTTGACAGTTTCAGTTTTGCTTCTGCTGCATAAAAGAAAGGTTGTTTTGGTTTAAGTGTTGGGGGGGGGGGGGGCAATGCGGTTGACATTGTTAAATTTCAAGTGTTTCTCTAACAGTCCATTTGCTGTGTAACCTTAAACCCTGGGGAAACACCGCGGCCTCGCTCCCTCAGTCAAGGTGCTACTTCACTATTGCTGCTCAGTCAGGGATGTTTTACTCATGGTTGAAGCCCCATATGTGGGAGGCTGCGAGACTTTTACACCGATAGATTGTCTTGTTTTTCTCTAAAGGTAACAGATAAAACAGAAAAACAAATAAAATCATTATTTTAACCTACATGACTTTAAAACAAGCTTGAGCCGAAGCTCTCAGAGACTTGAACATGATCACAGGCGCACATTGTGGATTGTTTCAAACCAAAACATCTTCTCACACCTTCACTACCAACCTGAATTTGACACTGCCACAAAACAAGCTGCTCCTCTCGCTGACCTAAGAAGCAGTGGCGGGCCGTGCATTTTATACCTGGGCCTTCTGTGCTGTACTGAGCTACGGTTATTTGTTTCTATTGGTGTAATAATACACGTATTCATATTAAACCGTTTGGTACGAGGCTTACGAACCGAGCAATACGTTTGAATAACACTAGTGGATTTGGAAAATGCAGAAGCTTAAATTGTGGGAAATATAATTTTTTCGGTGGACTGCGCTCACGTAGGAGACAACAGGATGTGTGTGACCTTTTGAACCCGGAACAATAAAAAAAAAACGAAATAACCCTGCGATGACGGGATGCTTCGTCATTAACGGACAAGTCAGAATCAATGTAATTAACACAGTGACAAGAACCAGTCACATAAAATGTCAAGCATGACAAATCAATCCAGCAACACTGCAGCGCTAGAGCGCGAGACATATCATTCATAAAAACGACACGATAGACAAATGAACAGTTACTGCAGATGTAAAAAAAAAAAAACGCGGCGAACGGACTCCGGCCTGAATCTGATTGGATAAAAGATCTGCTTACTTTAGACACTGAGGGTGTTTTAATTGCTGCTGGTTGTGAAAAGATAAATCTCAGTGAAGAGGCGATTCTCCACTTGTTGGTTGTAGCAGAAATTTTATCCAAGTACTTTTTTTGGGAAAGTCTTTTTTGAATATCTTTTGGGCTTTGAACATGTTTGGTCTTTTTTGGTTCAGCAAAACAAGCAATTTATAGGAGGGATGCACCGATAACAGGCCGGATACAGGGATCCGTGACAGTAGGGATAATATATATATATATATATATATATATATATATATATATATATATATA